CCAATCTATTATTTGCTGGGTTCAGGAGCCACCACATTCCCTGGGGGGGCCAAGCCACTCTTGTTTATCCAATAACAATTAATTCTCAGCCATCATCTCTAGTCTTGAACTATACAAACAAAAAGATGCCCCAGCAAAGAGGGAGCCCATCTGGGCACATCCCAAGATAATGCAGGGGATCAGGACGCCCTCTAGGCTTCTCCCTCAGCCTCAATTGTGCCTTCTTTATAGGATACGTAGTAGAAGCAATCACCCATGCAGCCGTCCAGGGTCTCAGGTGGTATGCACGCATGCACGCACGTGTGTGTGTGTGTGTGTGTGTGTTTTATTAGAGAGATTTCTGCTATAGGACACATGCGCTCACAGAAGAGACAGAGAGAGAGAGAGAAAGTGAGAGATCTGGGGCGGGCGCACATGCACCCGGCACAAGTTTCAAGCATCTGAGTCCGGGGACTCAAACCCTGGTTGGCCATGTGGGAGTCTAGTGCCTCAATCACCACTTCACCTGAGAGAGGAGAGTTTCTTTGTTATTTTTTTTTTAATGACTTTATACCTTTTTTTTTTTTTTTTTGCTATAGTGCAAATGTGTTTGCTGGAGAGAGATGTGAGAGAGAGCGCACCCTCCATGGGGATGGCCATGCCACAATCCCTTCTCTTCCACTCTCCTCTTGAAATTTTGGGTATGTATATGTGCCTGGTGTGTCTTTCAAGCTGCTGGATCCATGACTTGAACTGCACAGTCGGCCATGTGCGATCTAGTCACCTTAACCTCCATGCCACTGGCTGGCCCCAGATGTATATCTTTTGATTATAAAATAAAAGCAAAGATGCCGGTCATCCGGTGCAGCAACACAGAACGTACAGCTTGGAAACTGAAGGCACCTTCCTCGTAATCTCACCCTCTTCACTTGAAAGCAGGTATTTATTGTTTTGTTTTGATTTTATAGTTTTTGCTATTGGATGTACATACTTGCCAGAGATCTAGAGAGAGGGAAAGTGAGAAATCACCCCCAGGGTGGATGGCTGTAACACAATTCCTTCTCCTCCATTCTCCCCTCAGGATTTTGGGCACACACACACACACACATTTGTCTGGCCTGATTTTCAAGCTGCTGAGTATGGGACTTGAACCATGCAGTCAGCCATGTGGGATCCAGTGCCTTAACCTCCACACCACCTGCTAGCCTAAAGTGGGTATCTGTGGTGACCCTTGGTCCAGAACATTTTCAGCATCAAGGAGTGAGCTGGTTGGACCCTTCATGGACGGCCTGAGATACTCTTATAAAACACCCCTTCCTAGGGAGAGTGCCATCTGTTCAGTGAACACTTTGCAGACCTACTAGGTGCCAGGTCCTGGGGAAGCCACTGTGAAGGTGACAGATGAGGCCCTGGTAGCATGACCCCTGAGCTCTTCTGTGGGCAAGCTCTTGATTGGCATTGGCTACGGAATGTTCACCCAGGGTTCTGGCTCCCAGGGAGGCCCGCAAGGGGAGACAGTTGTGCTCCATTCACAGGCTCCCCCCGACTGTGGAGCAGAGGTGCTGTGTGCTGTGGGGCTTTTCTGTTGCTGGGCCTTGTCAGAAAAGGAGGTCCCAGCCACTGGAAAGTGTCCTGTCCAGGCTAATTAGACCCTTCTCTCCAGTCCTGAAACATCCTCTCAGGATATCTCAGCTAGAAGTTGCCTCTGACAGGACCAGCAGATGGCATAATGGTTACGTTGCTGGTCTCCCATGTAGGCAACCATGGTTCATTGTAGTTGACCATGGTTCAAGTCCTGGACCTGGTGACTTAAAACTCAGGCCAGGTGTGTGTGTATGCATGCCCAGAATCCTAAGAGGAGGATGGAGGAGAAGGGATTGTGGCAAGGCCATCCTCCTGGGGGATGATTCTCACTTTCTGTCTCTCTCTCACTCTAGTGAGTGCATGCACCCACTAGCAAAAATCTCTCTCTCTCAAAAAAAAAAGGTTGTCTCTGACTATACCCCATCTCAACCGGGGGGGGGGTGTCTGCCTTGTTGGGGGGTGCCAGACCCTGACTGAACTCCTCTGCTCTTCCCTGGCACCCAGCCTGGCTCTGAGTACACACCGCTGAGCAGGGGCCCTCAGTAAAGGGGATTGTAGAAGGGGAGGGAGTGGGCAGGTAGGCAGGGTCACCAGGGGCAGGAGACGGGGTCCCCACTGGGGGTGGGAGGTCTCAGTGTGGGTGAGAATAAGGCTGGCCTGTGGGCGCAAGGTACAGCAGGGACTTAGGAAGTCCAGGAGCTGGGCATGGCCTTGCCAAGTGATGCCCCACTGAAAATCACAGGGATGGCCAGGCACCCCGGGAAAGGGGAGGGCCTCACAGAAGGTCCCCGTGGGTGTCCCTCATGCTGATGCAGTCCCGAACACGGTATCTGTCAGCTCTTCTTCTGTGAACGCACGTACCTTTATTGAATATAAAAATCATGCTTTTCTTTAACAGCACATCACATTTCAAAGTAAACGTTTAGGCCCCAAATTAAGAGAGTGGGGAAACGCTGCTTTCTTCAAATGACCTGTCCCCTGTTTGTCATGTTATACCCTCCACCTTTAGGGTCAAGGTCCTGGGAAGTCTGGCCTCAGGAGACTTTTCAGGGTCAGTATAAGGAACTGATCCAAACAGCAGTGACAGGACCCATCCTGTGGTTCTGGAACAGTTCCCCCCACAGATGATTCTCTGAGGCATGTGGAGGTATCTCTGCCCAAGGCCTGGGTGCCTGGATTTCTCCCCTCCTCCCTGTTCCCTCTGCTTTCCCTAGGGGTTCTGACTCCCAGTGCTGCTGGCTGTCTTCAGCACCCACATCCCCGTAACACATGCTCTTTCCTTTTCTTTTTGCTCAAAGCAAATTATCTCCCTCTAAATCCAAATTTCTAAAATTTGTGGTTAGAGTGCAACAACGTTCATTCAAATGCAAGGAAAATAATTTATACTATGGTGTAAGAGACTGATGGGCTTAACTATTCAAAGGGGCGTTTTGTGTTGTGAAGGCAGAATTTGTGAATTCACACATCGCAAAAGGGCAGAATGTGACCGAGAGCTGGAAGCGGGTCTCTTTAGCCCACAGGCTGGAGCCTATCGGCCTTCAGGAACGAGGCTCCGCTGTGAGTACGTGTAGGCAGCTCCCCGGCCAGACTTAGGACTCCCAAGGTGGGCGGGGACTTGCGGCCGGGCGCGCCCGGCAAGGGAGCTGTCCCCAAACCTCAACCCCGGCTTCTTCGAGCCCGGAAGGAAGCCGCTGCAGAGGGAGCGGCGGGGGGGGCCCCGGGCCGCCCCCC